TTGCTGGATTCTTCATCATACAATATCCGAAATTCCGCCTCCTAAGAAATCAGGTTCATGTAAAGTTACACATGGGCCCATGCGTGGTACGCGTAGAAGTGGTCTAATGTTCGTTAACAACTGCATCCGTTACCGCCCTCGCCGTTTGGAATCTGTTCTACCTTTTTGACGTGGCGGACAAGGAGAGAGAAAATGTATATATAAGCTGTGTAAGTTTGCTTCACTGCGCCCTTAAAAGCTCTCGTCGGTTTGAATCTGTTTTACCTTCTGTACGTTGCGGGCGAGAGGAAAGAGAGAGGGAAGATGCCGCGTAAGTCTGCTTCACTATAAACAAATTCACGACTAAGTCGTCACTGCGCTCTTTTTGTAACAAGGATGGTTGTCATGTTGCATGGATGCTTAATCAATTTACAGTTTCCAACAAATAGGTCTTCATACGTAGGTAGGATCTAATGCACTTCCTTGTGAGATGTTGAAATGGGCACAGGGAGCAAAAGTAAGCGTGATCACATGCTTTAGACTTCATAGTCAAATCGGGGTTTGAAACATTTTTTAGAACTGCATCAATTCATCTTCACAGCTCCTTGGGTTCCTCCCTCTCCCTCTCTCAAAATTAGGAGATCTACCTAGAGTCCATCGGCAGACGGAAAACAAGCGTGCAGATACACAGATAAGTTGCTATAGCAATCTGTTACGGTAGGAGGATTGCCAACCTTCGAGTTGGCAATCGCGGCGCCTATGACGGGCGTGGCATTATTGGGAGTGTGACTAGATGACAGTCAATAAATTCGCTTGATCCAATTCTATAAAACGGCAGCCTCAGTCGGATTTGAACACATGACCTCCTGATCTACGAGGCCCCAACTGCAACGTAGGTAATCCATTAATTCCGTCACATTAAGCTAACAACCCAAACAAGATTTCCAATACAACAAAATAACGGTTCCTGATTGAGGCCTCATAGCTCAGGTGGGTAGGACATTAGTTGTACTCAAACCCTGTCTCAGTTGTCATGGGGTCCAAATCCCACCGAGGCCGCGGTCAAACGAATTATTCAGATCTCCCAAAAATATCCATAAATCGATACTGTTGGAACGCGATTTAAAACTAAAAGTTAGAAGGTCGGCCCTAACCATCTTGTTAAGGTAAAGGATCTACTGTCGGCCCAACCCTTAGAGAAGAAATACCAGTCAGAACACTGGTTACGGTGTAAGGTAGGTGGATCTGACACTGGCCTAGCTGTCTACCGTGTCGCCTCAGTGACATGACTAAAGTGAACTACAAAGAGCAATCGAACTACTTTTGGCAGGGCGTTACGATCGACCGAAATTCTGAAATGTGTACAAGCACATACTTCTAAAAAGTTATGAATTGATGGAAGTGGCACATGAAGACTTACCAATAACTGAACAGTGCAGGTTTTCGGATTATCTGGAAGACCCTCGCTGAAAGACCATTCGTTGATCAGGTTGCTGAAAAGGTTTCCCGTTATAGAAACTGACTAAAAAGGAAACACAAAGAAAATCGCATATTAGAAAGGTCTAGAGGAGGCAAACAGGAAAAGGGTATTTGGGAGTCAATTGTCCTGGCAGCAAGGCGTACGGCCACTAGTCAACGCGTCGGGTGTAAGTTCTGAGGCCTGAAGCATGCCCAGTTTAACTTCCTGGTGTCAAATGACGTTGATGTAGGTTTACCAATGGCTCTTACATATCCATCGAAAGACCAGACCTCCATTTGTCGATGCGGTTAAGTCTGCACAAATGGGAGGATTGGAACGACGGAGACACATGCGAATGCAAATTACAGCCGATAAATACGGATAAGTGAGATTTTAAAAAAGACCATTTGGCGAGCAAGTGCTTGCTTTCAATAAATTTTCGACAGATTTTTACATTTATATCGTCATGTAACCATATTACAGCGTCTGTTGGCTACGGCAGAAGCGGCTGCAATCAGGTCACGCAAACCGGTCCTGTGCGCCCAAAAGAACTTCGTAAAGGCGCCATAGTTACCGGTACCGAAAGTCGCCAATTCAGCCGCCCGCAGCTAATTGCCTTTCCCGGTGGTCAGTACGCTCCTGACACTGATCAGATTACTGACGACAAGCTTGTTCCAGGGGTATTTCGAATCGCAATTGGATACGACGGATTCTGAAGCTTTCAAATTGAAGAAAAACTATCTATCATTAGATTCACTAGGGAGAAGTTTACACTTTGTGCTGCAGAAGAGGCAAATGATAAGCACGCACCTTTACGTGAGTTGGTCGTTTCGTTGTGACCCAACAATCGTAGCTCTCTTGAAATGGGTAGAAGCCGACAGTGAGTCTATAGAGTTTGCCCTTGGTAGCGCTTTCTTGCAGCAGTACTGAGTCAACGCACCAAGGAAGGAAGGTGGAATACTGTTCAACTTGGGAGACGATATCGAACATCTGTTCCTGCGTATACCTGTAGGGCACAATACATATAAACTGCAGTGCAAGCCGACAAAAATACTGACAGAGAAGGAGACTAATCGGCACACGTTAACCAGTATGGTCTGGTCTGAAGAGCTTATGGTTCAGGCAACCACCAAAATAATCGTACAACGATAAAAGCAAATACTGTAGATTTCCTACTTCACTAAATGTTGCTCAAAATTCTGAAATGTGTTTTCGACTTCAAATGATTACTTAAGTTGGATTGCAAGGTGGATTATCGTGCAGCCTAATCTCAACTTGTTTCAGTCACGTCAGGATGCTGGCTGGTGTGTTTTGTGGGAAGCAGGTCGCGTGTGGTACGCGTCGTCGGTCTGTCTGGCACTCGCAGCCACTGCGCCTGACCCCATCTCCAGTATTCTTCACTCTGCCCTGACACCGAGCCAGGGTTGGTGAAAGAGGACAGAGAGAGCCTACTGCCACTGCCACATTCATGCTCAAGTCATTGTTCCCGTGCGGATCCTGCTCAAGGGGCACACGGTGCACCTCGTTTGAATTGACAGTCCAGCTGTCTGGTCGCCTAATTCATGAAATTTAAACTGAGAATCTCAAATATGACCGCAGTTAGGAAGTATTACTAAATGAAAGTGCAATATTCAAAAGCCTGTAGCAAAGTTTCTACCTTTGTCATACATGCGAGACTGTCATAATTGCGAGACTGCTCAATACCAGTAAATAAGCTTGCTTGCCATCACTGTCTTGCTGAAGGACTTTTTAGCCAAGACGCTAGAGGAGACATTCTCGTAAAAAAAAAACAAGCGTCTGTTGAAAATACGACTAGTCAAAATCTCCAAAGAAGTCTCACGAAATGTTCAAATCAAATATTACGATCCATGTTACGGCGTCAGTGTGAATGGAATTTTACGCAACCCTGTTCTAATCGTGCGGGTGACTAGTCTAAGCTCGACCATTCCATTGTGAATGGACACTTTTTAATGGATGCTGAAACGTGCGAAATTTTCTGGACCCTGGTATCCGAAGTCTGACGGCGCACAGTCTTCATCAGCACAATGCGGGTGTAGGCTGTCTGTCTGGAGTTCAAATTCCCGACACAGATGCTTGAGAGATAAACATTCTTAAAACCAACTCCCATTTCAGCCTATACTATAACGACCCACACGACTCTTCTGGCAGACATGGTGCTGCGACTATCCTCTCGTTATTAGCAAACCATGCAATACTTCCATGGGAATCGATACATGGCCCGCTGAATTACGTGCAACTGGGAGGCCACTTTACGGACAGCACTGCCGTCACTATGCACACCCCAATGTCAACCGCCGAACAGTGTGAAAAGAGAGACCTTCTACTAGCAGCTGCAGGAATTATTTAAAATATTCCCTTGTTGCGTTCTGAGGATTCTTGCCAGAGACTGGAATAATCGGAAGGGACACGGTGAATCCTCAAACAAGCACCTTATTGGTCGTTTTGAGCTCGGCTCTCGATGTGACGATGGTGAGAGAATACTGAACCTTCCTGATTAGAACCAAGTATTTGTCTCTAGCACGCATATTCAGCATCGTTGCAGACATCACCTGGCCTAGTGTTCAGACAACGGTAATACGGCCACTCAGATCGACTACATCCTATCTGGTTCAAAGATCTGCAACTGGGCTCACGATAGCAGATCGATGTGCGCTGCTGAAACTGATAACGAAAGCGTGCTCGTTTGGCTAAGCCTGAAAGTTCGCCTCTCATACGCACTAAAATTGTCCCGTTAAAAACGTTTTTATCCCGCAAATTACAAAAACCTAGCACAGTCAGGGCCCTGAGCATATAAATCTAGTCTATTTTACGACCCAAATTGAGGAAGATGGAGTATCCAATGGCCCTCGTTGATGTCACCGATCTATGGGGCAGCTGATAAATTTTTAGATTTGCTCAGCGATGCTGCATAGACTGGATTAGCGCAAGGACCTTGCAATTATCTGCCCAGGTCCGATAACAATGATTCTTGTCGCTAGCTCCGGAAAGTGACAGCAGAATCGTTTGTGGATGACTAGAAATCTATACATTTGAAATAGCAATCTCAGTGGAGCAGACCTTGAACGTTGGCGACGCTTGCAAACTACGAGATTATCTTTCAAGTTGATGAAAAGCCCTCTACACTGAGTAACTTTGTTCGCGATGTGAATGGCGGCTATATTGCTGACAACTCGGCCTAGGTCGGGCGCTAGCTTGAACATATATCACATCTTCTCAACTTTGTTGATCAACCCATCACACCCTCGAATTTCCTTATGGCGGAGTTTTATCCCCCTTCAGCTTACGCAGTGTCATGCGACCCGCTCTCAAGGAGAAATCGCCGATGCAGTACGGAGGCCACATAACATGCCACACGGAAAAGACTGTAATCTTACTGAAATCACAAGCCGCACGTCGGCACTCTGGCACCCTGACTCGATGGGGGGATTAAGCAAGTGCATCGAAGTGAATTCCGCCCTAATGACTGTGGCGGAGGCATCCCTGTGCCTGTATTCAAGAAGGGAGATAAGCCAAAGTGCAAGAACTATCGTGACAAAGGCTTCATCGACGTTGTTGTGTTCTTCGCTGCCGCCTTCCTCGTGGAATCAGGACGTACGTGACCCTAGGACGAGATTCAACCAAACCGGCAGCGGGTGGACGGACGGACCACATACTCTTGAAGTCCGGTATCGCTACGAGCAGGCAATGATCCAATACTCTTATAAATTCGCCTTAGCGTTGGATTCCGTTCATCGTGAGTCCAAGTGACGGATAATGTACCGGTAAAATATTCTTGCCATGGCCAAGGCCCAATATCACCCCGCGGCTGTGCGAGCTCTGGTTCATAACAATCTCACAACTATTTGATGATGAATATGTTGTTTGACAAGTTAAATTTTGTCGTCCATTCTGCTCAACTAAACTCTTGGTGGGATACTCGAAAAAATCCTACACGGTTTTAGCGGTATTAAGATTGCACCCAGACGCCAGCTGACTGATCTCGATTATGCTAACGATATCGTCTTGCCGTTCTGAAGTTCAGATTACATACATTCCGTGATTACGCAGGAATGAAGTCGCCGAATTCTGCGGCTTATCCATAAACTCTGAGATAACCAGTTTTTTGTAGCTGTACCCATAACCGGGAGAAATCATTCCTTGGAATTAATGAAAGTCAACCGAAAAAAACAATGGTTGAAAATACCTCTGGGCGAGGTGCCACCGGAGTAAGAGATTCAGAACGACATCTGCCAAATCGTGATTCTGTTCGTAAGGTCCTCACAATCAAGCCTTAAAAAGTGCGTTTAGATTCAGCGCGACATCTTTATTGCTACAAAGGTCCGCGTGTGTTGGTCATTCCTTGGGCCAGTCTTTCTATACGGTCGTGAATTTTGGGCTGTGTGCGTAGAAGGTGAGTGAGAACTGGAAGTATTTGATCAGCACTGCCTGATTAACATTCTTCGGGTGGAGTTCACCGAACTCATCCCAAATGACAGTCCGTACCTGATGTGACAACATCGTAGGTTTTCAGACAAACCAAAAAGACGACTGGGCTGTCTGCAAGATGGCAGATCGGGTAGCTCATAGTAGTGCTAAAAGGCTGAATCTGTCTTCTTCGAAGTTTAGTTTTTGCGGTCGGAGTTACGGCTGACTGATAGTGTTCAAAGGAGAGATTCCTTGATAGCAGCAGTATACAGGGCATTGATGGCGAACAGTGGATAGCCAATTGAAACACCTTCTGGCGTTAGGTTAGGTGTACCTGATTATTAAAGCTGATTTCGTTGTTCGTATATTTAATAAATTACTACACCAGGACGATCTTCTAGTTGCATTCAGTAAGATTTTCTCAGATTACTGTGGCCACCGGATAGGGACTATATATTGTTTTTTTTCATCCAAGTAATGCTGCAATTTAGGAAGAGGAAAACTCTAGACAACCACTTATTGGGGAACGTACGTTAATATATACTGAATTCGGTGCAGTACCTAGGAGCTAGAATTAGTGTTCGTAGGCACTTACAAGTTAACTGGACAAAATGGTAATCAGTGACTGTGCGTTTAAAGAGGAGCAAATAGACTTGCCTAAAGATATTTAACACGTATGCATCCGCTATTTTGCCTGGACTTTACATCAGATATATTATTTCACAGTCTCGAGCTTCGTGTATTCTCCCTAACGTTGAACGCTGACTTCTACTATGGCTCTGAATATAATCATACAACAATAAGAACATAAAATGAAATACTGATTCAATAGAAAGGAGCTTAGGAAATTGGGCATTCTTTCGATTAAGTCTAAGTCCTCTAACCCCTCACAAAAGCATTACGAAGGTAAAATAGGCGTGCAAGGTAAATTTTCCAAGATTGCTTACGCATACCCAAGAAGGCGCTGTTCTTGATATATTTTCTGGTTGTTCTCCGAAAATAAGTCCAAGAAGTTGCGGCGTTGTACCGAGCAGGTCCCAGTTCCACGCATTCTGAGCAATGATGTGAAACTGCGAAGTCCTCTCTGCATGTTTTCTTTCCGAAAACAGCTAGTGGTTGTTAAAGAAGATAACATTTGGTTTTAATCGTGCTACAGCCCAGGAAAATCGTGAAAACCAAACTTTAAAGATATATACACATCCTTAATTAATCAACTTCCAGGAGTAATAAGTTAATGCTTATGCGTCGTGTTTGGATAATGCAAAGTAGTGTGGCTCAGTTTCAGGACAAGTGACGTCTGCCAAAATTGTGTACGACACGTTCAGTAAGAAATAGTCAATCAACTGTTAAACCTTCAAGGACTGCGAAAAGTAAGCGCCGCAAGGGTAAACAAGCACGTTGCACATCAGATTGTAGAACAATGACACTTTCGAATAGTAAACAAAATGAGAAAACGGAATAATAATCGGTTGCCGAAAATGTAATGATCGAGGGAGAATGATGATATAAATCAAAAAGTATGTTAGGGCACTGAATAAAAATCAGCCGGCTGTGGAAGTCGATGA